ACTCCTTTGTTTTGTGTCTTCTTCCTTTACGAGGCATATACCCATACACCACTTCTCTCCTCTCTCTCCTTCTCCCTGCCTTTCTTCTAACTCGCAAGCTTCCTGCTTTTTCTCTCCCCTTTCTGATGGCTCGCCATCACGTAGCAGAACTTTTGAGGCATGCAAACTGAAAACAGAGCAAGCCACTGAGTGGAAGTTGATGGTGAGGCCCAACTTGCACCAAACAAAAAGCCACCCGATGATCTTTACTTTTTTTTTTCCCTCCTAGTAATAGTCCCCTTGTTAATGTTTGAGCTGCTCTTAGAATCACCCGCAATTAATATTCCGTGTCGCTTGGCAGTTAAATATTCAGAAACCCAGAAATTTTCCTCGGAGGATAGAATCAAGTAAAGGACCTTGTTGGCCTTTCAATCTGAAAGGTTTTTGGGAGGTTGCAATTATGTCGATCAAAATTTTCTGAGAGAATCTGCCCTGCGATAATTTTCCGTATACTAGCCAGTTCGGGTAAGTTGTTAATCGAAAAGCATACAATTTTTTAGCAGCACTTTGTCGTTTCCGACTTTTGAATTTCAGTTCTTTGTTTCTTCAGCGAAGATCAGAGAAGAGGGAGGGATGTTGCTGAGGAACAGATCAAGAGCAGTAACGAAGACAGGTTTGACGGCTGATCACAGTTCTCGGCCATCTCCAAAACAAAATTACGCGAAAGCAATTCCATCTTTATTCGGTTCGCCCAAATTCATCAGAGAATTGACCGGCAAGTGTGTCTCCGGAGCAGAGGCTCTAAGAAGCCCAACTTCAATTCTGGACAGGAGAGCACTATCACCCTTCGGGTATGAAGCTATCTCAACCACAAAGAAAAGCTTGTGTAAGCGGGACAAGATAAACTCAAAAGGCATTGGCCTTGCTCTTCTCGATGCACCTGAGGATGGCCACGCCGATCAAAATTCTACTAAAGGAAATGTATTGTTCGGAAAACAGCTCAGGATTAAAATCCCACCTACCCCTCCAGCGCCATCTTCCTCTGGGTATGAGAATTCTGGAATTCAGACTGGCGTTATGTGTTTGAGTGAGATGGAGCTCTGTGAGGAGTATACTTGTGTGAAATCCCACGGGCCTAATCCAAGAACCACCCATATATTTGAGGATTACATCGTGAACACCAGCTCCTTCAGTTCTTCTCCGCGTGACTCTCACTCTGCTTCAGGGACTAATTTCCTCAGCTTGTGTTTATACCTGCAAGATGCAGCTCGATCACACCAAGGATATCTTCATTTATAGGTATCAACATGAACTTGAATTTCGATTGATCTTGTGTTAGTTTAATGGTTTAAAAAAGACCAAGAAGGTAATTAATTAGTGGTGCCCTGGTTTGCAGAGGAGAGAGAGCTTTCTGCAGTCGAGAATGCCGATACAGGGAGATGGTGTTAGACGGAGCAGAAGTTTCAGAATTTGACAGTAATTGGTGATGTTCCCTCCCAGCTGTGGTGCCGCAAAAGTTGTAAATTTTTGCGTGGGATGGCAATAAAAAGTCAACATCTTCCGTTCTTGATCATCTCTCAAGTCCCATCTCATGGTAGTGAGGACAAAAATGATTGCATCATTGCGGCCTCTCTCTCCCTCTCTGTCTTTTTTCCCTCTCCGCTGCAAATAGAGATAAGAGAGGATGTGTAGAGTTTTTTGTTTTTTTTTTTTTGTTTTTGTTTCCCCCAAGGGATGACTGATTCCAGTGCCTTTTGTTTCCCCCCGTTGTCTTCGGCTCAAGTAGACGAGGATCATGTAGTACTGAAAATTCCACCTTTTTTTTTTCCCGGCTGATGATGATGATGAGGATGAATATTATTATAGATGGGGACAGATTAATTATTTCCCTCGTCAAGATTCCCTCGCTGTATTTTATTAGAATCCTTACTGTTTTTTTCTCCGCTGAGGGGGAAGATAAATAAATAAAGCGAGCTAAGTTAATGAATAATGATGGAAAAAACAGACAATGACAGGTAAGAAGGCAATGGTTAGGTCACTTTCCTTACCCATTACTTCATTATCCATGTATTTGAATAATAGGTATGGATTAGAAACTTGATACGTATATAACAGAGAGAGAATCCCCATTTTCAACGGTCTTTGTTTTAAGATCGTTCCCACTAATCTCTCTGATATCTGCAAGGCATTTAAAAGTTGAAAATATCTGTGATTAAACATTTTTTAAATCAACAGGGATACATTATGCAGCATAGTAAAATAAAAAAAAATTTGCTTTTTTTTGCAGTAAAACAACAAAAGAATCAAGCGTGTCATGGATGCTAAATCTAAAAAAAAAAAACAAAAGAATGTCCAAGTTCTTTCACCAGAGTCTACTTGAATGTAAAAATATAAAAAAATTAAAATAATAAGTGTTTGATTAATAGAATGTGCAAGATACAAAATCATGAAGGTTATAAAGCTAAAAATGATGTTAAAAATTATTTAAAAATATAGAGTAAAAAATGATAAAAGTATTAATGGATGTCAATTATTAATTGTTCGATGAAATCTCCTTTTTATGTGACCTTCTCGTCCTTTTATAGTGATTCAACTAAGACAATTACCCCCACAAAATCTAAAACTTATTTGCAAAATATCAGCTATTTAATAGCACAGTCTATGAGATTCATGACATGATACATCATATTCTCTTGATGGTTTCATATGTCTATCCTGAGTCTTAAAGGTTAAGTTTAGCTCCTGTGTGGCACATTCTTTCAATTTATAGCATGTAACTCTCAACCCATGTCCTTGAAATATCCGTAAATGAGTGTCATGATCTTGTGAGATTCGGGGCTCATTGAGATGAAGATCTTTTGTGAGGCAACAATCTAAATAATGGTTTTAAGTTTTAAGGGATTCAAAGACCTGAGCTAACTTAATCAAGTTATTTTATTATAACGTGAATTAGCCTTATCATTACTCAATCTCTTACTAGGCCTGACGCTTCATTTATTTGCCCCATTTCTTGCTATAGTCATTATATCCTTTTAAATAGGTATGTTTCAAATTTAATCCAAACACTTTTTTTTTTTTTTTTTTTTTTTTGGGGGGGGGGGGGAGGGAGGCTTTGAGTTCAAAACAAAAGAGAAAAACGCCCGAAGCAAAGGGGCAGAAGCCATGTATTATCATGCGGAATTGCTGAATAAGGCTTGTACTCGCCTAATACGCATACTCAACCAAACGATTCTCCGCTGCATTTTTTAATTTTAAATACAATTATCTCATATTCAATAGTATTAAGTTATGAATATTTTTAAAACACAATCAAGAATAGCTAGAGATGAGAAATGGATGGACTTGATCCATGTGAACCAGCCTCCTATAGGCTTGACCCTCCCAATTACTCCAAAATTCACCAGTTTTTCAAACACGACCATCATTTGATGGCTTAGAGTCGCGCTTGCAAACCTATTTTTATCATTTTTTTTAAGTTTTTTTAAAATTAAAAATTTTCAATTATAATATTCATATTTAAAAAAAATACAAATTATAATATTTAAAAATTTAAAATAAATAATAAACATTCTTATATTAAAGTATAAACATATATTTTAAAGTTCATATTTAATTTAAAAATAAAAAAATATTTTATTTTTTAAGGACAAAAATAAAACATGCCTAAAAAAACCTCCCAAACCAACGCATATTTTTCAGGATTAATCAAAGCTGAGTTTCAAAACCCAATTTTGCTATAAAAAAAAAATACTGTCTTTTAAACTTGAACTCTTATAATAACGAGTTTAAATGAACAACTTACTAAAACTAACTCTTATTCGTGACTTTGAGAATAGATGAATAGCTATCATAACTATTTTTCCTCACGCAAAATTTATACTTCGGACTGATTTTAACCTACCACTGTTATAGTTTAAATTTTATTTTTTATTTAAAATAAAGTGTATAATAAGAAGACATTTAAAATAAAAGATCAAATTGTGATTAGTTTATTTTATAAGGACCTGTTTGATTTTTGTTCTCATTTTTTGTTTTCAAAAGCTGTTTTATAACACATACAGGCCTTTAATCCCCCTTTCCTGAGAAGACAGAGAGCCGAATTCGTTTTAAAACCAAGCAATCACTGATGATCCTCATGGAGTGCTGAAGGGTACAAGCAATAACAAAGTGAAAAGCGCAAACAATTGTTTATTTCGCTAATTCCAAGAAAGTGAGGGAACCCGCGAACCCCACCTGGGGGTGGGGGTTTGGTAATCCATGTTGCTTTCTTGGAAGAACCAAGCCACAGTAAAAGGTGACGATAACCCTGCAACCTTCAAAAGGAAATGGCCCCTCCCAAATGCTTAAAAAAAGTGGGCAATTAATCGCTAAGATGCCTCCCCATCCAGGGAAAGTAGTTCAGAGGGTTGATCAGAAGTGAGGTCTTAACTGGAACAAAGTAATATAACTAGGAGAGGTGAAGGTTCAGTAAGGCAGTGAAGAGCATGCAGGAACCATCAAGGAAAGTTGGGCAACGTTGTTGTACACTCTTAAATCTGGAAGAGAGAATTTGATCGATACATGAATCAGATTATGAAAGTACGATAAAGGGATGATGGTAAGATAAAGGCAACTACGGGAACCAAGAGGGAGGGAAGGAATACTAAAGAAATGAGCTCTAAAGGGCTAAGACTTAAAGAGCGGGTTGGGTTTCTATAAGTTCAAGATTCTACAGCATGTACATGGCATCAAGTAAGATTAAAAGAAATTAACCATTCTACGTGGAGACGATGCTAAAAACTACGTAACTGGAAGATTCAACTTTAATGTAGCTTCCTTTCAGGCCCAATGGATTAAATAACAGTCAACCAAGACTACTCTGTACCACTTCTCTGCTTCCCAATCATTTCCTTGCACCTTCCGTCCATCCCCACACCATCAGTAGCATGCCCTTCTCTTCAGAGATATCACTGGTTTACACAACCCGTTACCCTCTCCACACCAAAGCTCGACCTAAATTTAATTCCTCTGGAGATTGTTGACCTACCACAACCGTAATTATCAAAGACACCACCACCAACACCACCACTGAAAGCTAAACAATTGAACTCAAACTGACTCAGGCTAAAAGTTTTATTCGATCTATATATACATCTATCTAACATCAAAGGAGTTGCAAACTAGACTTTATTTACATAAGCCCAGCGCACGACGTGCCTTAATCGTCATTTATGTTAAGATTGAGAATGCGACATAGAGTCTTAGTCGCAGAATCAGTATTACCAAACAGGTCTCTCATAGAAGGGGAATGCTCTCTGGCAGGGGATGCAGGCGCAGACTTAGCAAGTGGGTGCATTTTAATCTCGGGGGAGGAACTAGGTAGATCAAGAGACACAGTCCTCTTAGGTCGCACAGAAAATTTAGGGATTGGCAAAGAACTCGGTGGAGGCGAATTTGAGTAGGTGGGGCCAGCCCAAAGTTCTGAGAACAACAGATTTCCATCAGGAATTTCATCGCTGAAGGATCTCATTTTGTCACAAGCCCCGACATTAATTGGAATCGGTGCGCTTTTGGGAGTAATTTTACCGTGGGTTTTCCAATCGGAGTTTGAATTGGCTGGTTGTGACGGTGTTTTTGGGGAAGAGAGGTGGGGCCGTTCAGTTAAAGGTGAACTGTAAGATCTGAATGGGGTTGGGAGGATACCTGTTCCAGAATGGAAAGTCCTAAATCGATCCCCCTGAAGTCCCTGGAAGACGATGACCCAAAACGAGCGGAACAGTGAGCCTCAGGCTTGCCGTAGTATTGGTTCCTGTGCTGCGCCAAAACAAGGGTTTCCATGGCAATAACAAGTGATTCAACTGTGTATCAGTGGCCGATTAAGTCTGATTCAAGGAGTATTCTACTCAATTCAACACTACAACTCAGTCCAACTTATCAGAAACAAGCTAGGAAACCAAATTTTTATCTATTCGATTTGCAAATCAAGCACCTAGAGTTCCTCCCCAGCAGATCTAAACTGACCATCTAATCGAACAATCCAACAAACATAAGGTCCTCCATCATTGATTGAATCGCCCAAAGCATCGATCTCCCCGACTCAGATTAACAAAATCAGCCCACTTCCGAGAAATGAATGGAAATCAACAGCCAACAAAATCCCTCTCGTGCTGGGGAAAAGAAAATGCAGACGTTAAGACATAAAATCACAAATAGGGTTTCAAAATCAACGCAAACGAACAAGTAAAAATAGGGTGTACTCAAATGAAAAGAGAAACTTCCACAGTCGGTAACATTCAGATTTTTTGAAGGGAGGAAAAGTGAGAGTGAAAGATTACCGGAGGACGTAGAGAAACCGTCAAAATGGAGAGCCAGATGTAGATCTGAAGTAGAACAAAGCGACGAAAGTATCGAAGAACAGTACTGCCGCTTGGAGCTGTGTACTTTCTCTTTTCAAATATAAATATTAGTATCTGTTTGCCAAACGGCCATGGAAAGGAAAACGCATCCCAAGGAGGGTTTGATGAATCTGAGGGACTATCACAGTAAGCATTTTATTGCTCTCAGCAACTCCGTGCTCCTCCATACTTTAGGTAAGTGGGCCTTTTTTTAACTCTATTTACAAAAATGGCATTTTCCGCCCTTTCCTTCCTGGCCTCCTCCTAGTCCTCAGCAACGGGCGGGTAAATATTTTTAATTAAATTAAACTACTTACATATTTTGTTATTTGATTGGAGATGCTTTTATTTTTCTTGAATTGTTAAGAAGTCCTGAAATTATTGTTCAGTTTATTTTCTTGAACTGAAATTGAATTTTTCATTGGATCACTCAATTTTTTATTGAATAAAAGGTTTTTTTTCACCTTCTCATTAAATAAAGGTTACGAAATTTGATTTGTAGTAATTAACTCTCATTTTTTTGCTTTGTATTCAAGGATTATTATGGTTGTACCGAACAAGCCAATGTAAAAAAACAGGTGAATGGATGGCTGTGTGTGTGTGTGGTGACTCTCAAGCATATTAGCAAGTCACTTTAGCTCCACCTTTCTCTCCTGACATGGACATCCGGCTAACAATTTTTCAATAAAATAAAATATTTATATATACAATCAATTAATTTCCTGATTTGATTATTTGTCATGGTATTATGAAAATTGATATCATACAATGAATTCATTTATGAAAATAACTATATTTTCTTCGTTTATAAAAATATAAGACATTTTTAATTAAATCTCATCCTCAATAAAGTAATTATCTGTTTTCAAAATAATTTTATATTTTTATATTTATCCCTATTAAATACTCTATAATATATAAAGTCATTCATTAATAGAAAAAGTTTTAAAAAAATAACAATGATTACACCTTAAAAGACTAAAAATATCTAACATTTTAGAACATCTAACTCCTCAAAAAATATATTATATTTTTAAATGGAGAGAGAGTATTATTAACATTTTGAAGCAAATAAGTTGGCGACATATATAATTTTTTTTAGGAAACTAAAATCATGCAATAAATTCATTAATTGAAATTGTGCAATCAATCAATCCATTGAATTTCTTTTTTTGGCCAAAATTAATCCATTGAAATTTTTTCTCTGCGTGAAATTTAGGAATTGAAAGGAAATTATGTTTCAGTACACAAAATTACACTATAAAAAAAAGTTAAACAAGCATTAAAAAAATATTAATTGCTTGTGTTATAAAAAATTGGCAATTAAATTAGATAGAAATGAATTTAAAAATAAAAAACACAAAAATAATATTTGCAATACCTAAATCAATCAACATTAAATTAAAAAATTAATATTATTGTAGTAATGTCCACTGTATTTTGAATGTGGATATTTATTTTTAAAAAACTATCAAATCAATCAGAGTAATTTTTAAATTAATGAATCTTAAATAAGCAACATACAAATATGCCCTATTGCAAGTTTCACATTAACTCATGAATACTTTAATTTATAGTTTTTTTAAAGAATAAGTATATGTATTCGAAACACAAAATCACATTATATAAAAAAACATGCAAAAAAACATATAAAAACAAATTAACTTCTCATGTCATAAAAAAAAAACCGCACAAAATCAGAGTTAATCTTTATGAACATGAATTTAAAAAATAAAATACAAAAAATATTTGCACAATCTAAAAAAATTGACATTAAATTAGATAATTAATATTATTACATTCACGTTAATTGTGTTTTAAATATGGATATATTCTTAAAAAACTAACAAATCAATAATAGGATTTCTAAATTAGCATGTCTTAAATAATAAAGTAGCATGAAAGATGGATTATTGCAAATTTCACATTACCTCAAACATAATAATTTGGTGATTTTGTAGCTTTTTCAAAATAAGTATCCATATTCAAAGCATAGCTAACCTTGGTATAATAATGCTAATTCTCTAATTTAATGCTGAAATATTGGACAACATTTTTTTGATTTGCATTTTTAATTAAATCTCATCCTCAATAAAGTAATGATCTGTTTCAAAATAATTTTATATTTTTATATTTATCCCTATTAAATACTCTATACTAAATTAAAAGTCATTCATTAATGAAAAATTTTAAAAAAAATACAATGATTACACCTTAAAAACTAAAAAATATCTAACATTTTAGAACATCTAACTCCTCAAAAATATATTATATTTTTAAATGGAGAGAGTATATTATTAACATTTGAAGCAAATAAGTTGGCGACATATATAATTTTTTTTAGGAAACTAAAATCATGCAATAAATTCATTAATTGAAATTGTGCAATCAATCCATTTGAATTTCTTTTTTGGCCAAAATTAATCCATTGAAATTTTTTTTCTGCGTGAAATTTAGGAATGAAAGGAATTATGTTTCAGTACACAAAAATTACACTATAAAAAAAAGTTAAACAAGCATTTAAAAAATATTAATTGCTTGTGTTATAAAACAATTGGCAATTAAATTAGATAGAAATGAATTAAAAATAAAACACACAAAACTAATATTTGCAATACCTAAATCAATCAACATTAAATAAAAAATTAATATTATTGTAGTAATGTCCACTGTATTTGAATGTGGATATTTATTTTTAAAAAACTATCAAATCAATCAGGTAATTTTTAAATTAATGAATCTTAAATAAGCAACATACAAAATGCCCTATTGCAAGTTTCACATTAACTCATGAATACTTTAATTTATAGTTTTTTAAAGAATAAGTATAATGTATTCGAAACACAAAATCACATTATATAAAAAAAACATGCAAAAAAAGCATATAAAAACAAATTAACTTCTCATGTCATAAAAAAAAAACCGCACAAAATCAAGAGTTAATCTTATAAACATGAATTTAAAAAATAAAATACAAAAAATATTTGCACAATCTAAATAAATTGACATTAAATTAGATAATTAATATTATTACATTCACGTTAATTGTGTTTTAAATATGGATATTTAGTCTTAAAAAACTATCAAATTAATAATAGGATTTCTAAATTAGCATGTCTTAAATAATAAGTAGCATGAAAAGATGGATTATTGCAATTTTCACATTACCTCAAAAATAATTTGGTTGATTTTGTAGCTTTTTCAAAATAAGTATCCATATTCAAAGCATAGCTAACCTGGTATAATAATGCTAATTCTCTAATTTAATGCTGAATATGGACAACATTTTTTTGATTTTTTTAGTGTTGAATTCCTTCCATCTCAGTAGTTGGTATCCACATTGAGCCTCTATTTAAGTCAATTATCCACTATCCTAATCTTACCAATTAAAACTTAAATCAGTTTTGATCTCATTCAACTTACTTATGTGCATTCATATCTTGCAACTTCTTTTTTTATTTCTACTTCTCTATTCATGTTTTGATTTAAATTCATTATTTATGGAGAATTAACCATACTACAACGTGCTGCAGATTATGACCGTGATTTGATGTTGTCAATGCTATCAACCCATTCTAAACTTATTAGATGATTAGAATTTGAGTAGTTCACATGTGGACAATGATGGGTTACAAGATGGATTCAAGAAAGATAAATCCAAATCATCTCTTCTTATCCGATCTCTATCAATTCTAGAAATATATCTAATTTTAGCTGTCTCGTACTATTATCATGTTGTGTCTTTTTTATATATGCAAACAAAATTAGAGAATTAGAATTTAGGTGTTTTGCATATTGACAATGATGTGTTGCCAGGTGAATTTGAGATAAATAAATCTAAATAATCATCTTTCTTCTTTGATTTCTATCGTTTTCACCTCTTGAAAAGATATCCAAATTTCAGTTATTTCTTACTATTATCATGATGCATCTTTTTTTATGTCTCGTAACTCTAGTTGCACGTTTTAGTTCATTTCAGTGGATTGTTAAATTCACCGTTGCTAAGTAGTGGTTCTCCTAGCCTTGACCTTTGTGGTTGTTTATGTTTAAATAATAATTAATTGGTTAGATGTGGAGGATATAATGAATATGATTGTTGGTGAGATTCTTTTTCTAATTGGTGTTGTACACTACTCTGGGATTATTTTCAATATAGTTTTTGATAATCTACTAAACTTAAAAAATGAAATTATGAATTGTAAATTGATGGCTCATTTAAGAATGATTGGAGGATTAGAATTCAGATTATAATTATTTGATGCAACTTCTTTTTTATTTCTATTTCTCCATTCCTTATTGTTGTTTTGTTTGTTTTTTGTTATATTTTGAGAATTAGTTAATGTATATACGTGACCATTTTAAGGTGATCATATTCATGCTATCATGGAGAGAGCTTTCCTTTAAAAGTGTCCATCTTAATTGAAGGAAGGTAAGGTATATGTTAACTCTCAATTTGGTGTTGGACAAGACATCGAATCATATAGGGCTACACAAACTTGCAATTCTCTATTTTACTTCTATTATGGCATGTGGACAATTTATCAAGTTTTTTTTTTTTGCATTGTAATCTATTACCTTAACTCTCCTTATCAAATCAGATTTGATTATCCATGCATTTAAAAAATAATTTATGTTGGGATGTTATTAATATCAAATTTAAACATCCAAATGTTGATCCCATCAAATCTTATTTTCAAATAATAAGTATTTTATTTGTGCATTTTTTGACCAAAGTTATGTATTTTTATATATATTTTTATATATGAGAAACTTTGTTTTTAAATATGTAATTAATACTTTTTGTACAAAACAAGTATACATAATATATACAAAAATATATTTAGATTTTAAATTGGTATTGAACTATATGCAATTATATTTATTCAAGTATTAAGTTGTCCATTTAAAAAAATGATTGATTTGGTAGCTTTTAAAGAAATCATTCACACAAAATATACACATGACTTCAGGGGCATGTAGAAATATTTACTTTTTAATGACTCGTGTTATTAAAAACAAAACATTACATTATACAAAAATAACATGTAAGAAAATCATATAAAAGCAAATTAATTACTTATGCTATAAAAAACACAAAATCAACAATTAAATTGGATGGAAATAAATTTGAAAAATAAAAATACAAAAAAAAAT